ACGGGGTTTCACGCATGTTACGCCAGGATGGTCTCTGATCGTCTGCCCTCGTGATCCACCTGCCCTTGGCCTCCCAAAAGTGCTGGGATTACAGCTTTGAGCAGACCGCCGCCCGGCCAGATTGTAAGTTTATAAAATTGAACTGCATGAGCCACTGTACCCGGCCCCTAATATGATTTCAAAAGTACAAGAAAGGTTTCCTACTCCAAAAGATTTTCCCATCAAGCTCTCAGGCCTTTAAATCAATTCCTTTATTTTTTATTTATTTACTTTGTTTTGTTTTTGTTTTTTTGAGAGGGAGTCTCGCTCTGTCTCCCAGACTGGAGTGCAGTGGCCCGATCTTGGCTCACTGCAAGCTCCGCCTCCTGGGTTCAGGCCATTCTGCCTCAGTCTCCTGAGTAGCTGGGACTACAAGTGCCCACCACCACACAGGGCTAAATTTATGTTTTTATTTTTAGTAGAGACGGGGTTTCATCGTGTTAGCCAGGATGGTCTCGATCTCCTGACCTCATGATCCACCCGCCTTGGCCTCCCAAAGTGCTGGGATTACAGGTGTGAGCCACCACGCCTGGCCTTAATTTTTTTTTTTTTTGAGATGGAGTTTCACTCGTCACCCAGGCTGGAGTACAATGGTGCCATCTTGGCTCACTGCAACCTCTGCCCAGGTTCAAGTGATTCTCCTGCCTCAGCCTCCCGAGTAGCTGGGATTACAGGTGTCCATCACCATACCCAGCTAATTTTTGGATTTTTAGTAGAGACAGGGTCTCACCATGTTGGCCAGGCTGGTCTCGAACTCCTGACCTCAGGTGATCCAACTGCCTCGGCCTCCCAAAGTCCTGGAATTACAGGTGTGAGCCACTGTGCCCGGCCTCCTTTGAGTTTAAAAGCCAGTATTTCTTTCAAAGTTTTCTTTTAGACATGGGGTCTTGCTATGTTGCCCAGGCTGGATTCAAATCCCTGCGCTCAAACAATCCTTCAGCCTCAGCCTGCCAAGTAGGAGGTACTATATAGGTGTATGCCACAGCACCCAGCTCAGTATTTCTTTAAATTCTCCTACATAAACTTGTGATGCAGGCTGAATTGGTCTATATTCATTCCCTAGAAAATTTACCTAATTTTCCTGATACTGGCTTTTGCTCAAATTTGACAAACATCTGCTTAACTGTCTACATCAAACATATTATGAGCTCTAGGGGAGCAGGGGTTATTTGTTTCTTACTCATCTTTCCACCTCCAAGATCTAGTCGTATAGCAATTAGAACATTTCCCCCAACTTTCTGCCAGTCCAAATCTCCCCAATCCCAAAAGAACCAGCAACGATCTCAATCCTAATCAGCTGAAAGCAATCTCTGTCTCTACCCAACTTCGAGTCCTCCCTGTCTGGACCACTCTCTTGGCATTAATCACATAGTGTCTCCTCACTCTCTTGTCATGAATGACTGTTTACATATTGCATGTGTTTTTTTATCTGAACTTTAAGCTGCTTCTGACCAAGTAGAGTCTTCCATTTCTATCAATCCCTTGCAGCAGTTCTTAAATGCTAGGCTAGGTGCCTAAGCATAACCTGGGAAGCTTAATAAAAATGCAGATTAGCCCATGTTCTGAAGATTTTACTTAAATATATAAGGGGAAATAGCTTCCAGGAATGCAAACCCCCAGATGATTCTGATGCACAGCCAGGTTTGGTTAGCATTGCTCCACAGACAACTAAGTTCCTTGTACCTAGCACTCAAAATCTTTGTCTGACTCTTCAAGTCTTCCCTTACAAGTTGATGATTTAATAAGGGAAGAAGATTATAAAGAGAATTAGAAAGAACTTTAAGCATGATTATACAAAGCTATAAATTACAAGGTTAAGGATCAGGATAGGACAGGCGCGGTGGCTCATGCCTGTAATCCCAGCACTTTGAGAGGCTGAGGTGGGTGGATCATGAGGTCAGGAGTTCGAGATCAGCCTGGCCAACATGGTGAAACCCCGTCTCTACTAAAAATACAAAAAAATTAGCAGGGCATGGTGGCACACGCCTGTAATCTCAGTTACCCAGGAGGCTGAAGCTAGAGAATCGCTTGAACCTGGGAGGCGGAGGTTGTAGTAAGCTGAGATGGCACCACTGCACCCCAGCCTGGGTGACCAAGTGAGACTCCGTCACAAAAAAAAAAAAAAAGCATCAGGATAAAAATTCATTTGACAATAATGAATTCAACAAAC